AAAAAAAAAAAAAAAAGATCACGTCCTCCGAGGCTCTGGCCTGGCTCTAGGCCTGGGTAGTCCATGGTAGTTAGCGACAATACTGAGTTGGTAACTATGGACGATGACACCCAGGCTACTGAAGCTCCACGACTCAATAACTCAGCACATACGTACAATGCTGATTCATAAATTCCGCAAAAAGCCAGCATATGTAGAGGCTTGTCGTATACGTCGCTATGTATTGCCGCGAATTCACAATACCAGCTTTGTATTCCTGTGGTTTAGTAGCATTTTATTTTTAGCCGCGCGCACTAGTTTGGGGGTCTTCAGAGGATGTTATCCATAAAATTAAGTCGGTGTGGCCTAAGGCTTCGCAAAAAATGACAAGATTTTCTTTTTAGACAACAGAAAAAAATCTACTCAAACAAATCAGTTTGGAGACTAACCGTTTCCTCACTTGAATACCTACCACCAGCTATTATTTTTCGGCGCATACGTTTGCTCTTATCGTGGACTTATCAGTCTTAATCTAGAGATTATTTTGTCCAAGATATAATCTCTGATGATACACAGGAAAAATCTGTATCTTGTTTAAGCACATTTACTCAACTGACGTGGCTCATGTATTTAATTCTTAGAAATATGATGTTATATCTTTTTGTGGCAGAGAATGGTCAGGAACAAGCTATCTGCATACGAATGGCCATCCAACCAAAGATAACTGTACAATAACAGATTCAAAATTTAAGTTCCTAAACCTATCCCATGATTCCTAGCAAGGTGGACCGTTACATTTCAAACGACTGTCGTTTTTATTACCAAATATGGCAAACCGATCATTCTTTGGTTCTTGGATTTAAATATAGATCGGTAACTGAAATCCGGAAATAATCCCCCAATAGACAAACATGCGATGAAAAGTGACAGATTCAGAGCACGGTGGATAAAAATATCTCCGAGCATGTGACTTGCTACCGATGGACTATCAAATTTAAAGCAATTATACTTTGTATAAAAGATAAGCTTAAGTATGTATTTCAAACAACACACTCAAAATAGAGCATTTGACTTAAATATCAAATAGACTGTTGCATTTGTAAAACATGTACTGGTTGCCTATGATTACTAACTATCCAGTGTTGTAAGCACCTCTATGTAAAAACGCTGTTAATGTCTTCAACGCCTGCTATCTGGCTACATAAATGAAAAACATTTGGCAATCAGGAATGGCAGACCCCCTTACCCATACTGCTTTGTGATCATTTCAGTTCTAGTAAAAAGAAAAGAAAAAGTAGCACTACGAATGTATACCAAAGCAGCATACTAAGAACCACAAATAAAGATAAATACAATACTTACAGTTAGCCTCCTGTGCAGGCCCCGCGGCGGTGGGGAAGAGTTTTTAACGCCGTGGGCGGAGTGGAACCTTCTCTCGGCGGCTATGTAGGATGGCCGGCTATATTAAAATAACGCGTTAAAAACTCTTCCCCACCGCCGCGGGGCCTGCACAGGAGGCTAACTTACAGTGGAATAACGGGGTAGCTATTTGAATGAAGATTACCTGTATGTCCAGGCAAAAGAAACACACACGGCCAACCTTACAACTGTCCAAATGCCTTCTTATAAATTCAGATCCCCCTCTAATTGGATCATTATACGGCAGGCTCCTCAAATTGACTGTTTTACGGTCAAATCACTTTCAGCATGTGCTGTACCATCACTTAGGTCAAAAGATAAGATACGGTAACTCAATTACACTTCAAGACGACTTTGTTCTTAGAGTATGTTATACACTTATAGTAACCAAGGCCATCGTTCAAAGACTGTTCCTGATTTGCTGTTGCAAACCTATCATTTGGAGATGAGGCCACACAATTTAATTTCTTGGTTACCGGATTTTTCTAGAAAAATAATGGAGCGGGCGGGCAAAAAAAAATTAAAATAAAAACAGGCCTAGGCATCCTATTATGGCCCAAAATGGTACAATAGGCGCCATAAGTCAACACAACAGGCTGGTTCAAAATTTAAACAATGAATTTTGAACTTTTAATGATACCATTGCATTGAAAGATGGAATAACAGTAACAACTAGGATGAAAAGGACTGTTTTCAACTGTTCAGGGCAAAATATGAGCATTTTGCAGTTGAATTTTTATTTTTACAATGTATTTGCAAATCCGAAAAAAAGCGTGCAAATCCGTTAACCAAGAAATTAAATTGGTGTGGCCTTAGAGTATGTTATACAATTATAGTAACCAAGGCCATCGTTCAAAGACTGTTCCAGATTTGCTGTTGCAAACCTAACATTTGGAGATGAAAAATTAAAAAAAAGATATTTATTAAATTTTCACCAGTACATGATGATCATATACAAGAGCATCCAGTAGATTTTTGTACCAATTCTATTCCTGACGCTAGCAACAAAATGTGTATTGTGTCAAATAAATGGAGAACAGAAATCGTGTATTTTTCTCATATTTGCTGGAATACAAGACAAATTATTTCCTGCATTTGATCCTGTTAGGTAGCAAATATAATTTGCGAAATGCTTTATTTTCATTGTCAATCCAGTTATGTTATGGAAGCACTAAGATCCCATACAGGGCTCGAAATACAATACTGGGTGCATGTGTACCATTTTTTTATGTGGCACCTAGGCACCATAGCATTTTTGTAGGTACGTTTAAGATGTTAAATGTATAGCAGGGTACAGCATATTCATAACATCTAAGTGTCAGAAAAATAATAAAATCATCAATTATTGTAGTACTTTTCTTTAGCAATGAAATTTTTTGTGCACCCGATTTTTACCTTTGTCAAGAAGGTTATGTTTTCAGTAGCGTTTGTCTGTTTGTCCGTCTGTTTGTCCATCTGTTTGTGAACAGCAAAACTCACGAAGATTAGTATGCATTGTCATGAAACTTGGTATGTGGGTAGGTCTTGATGAGACCTTGAAATGATTAGATTTTGGGCTCCCTGGCGGCATTTGTTCGTACTGCAGCAGAACTTCCGGTTTCAAAATCTCATGATCTGGACATGCTAGGGTCACGAATTTTGGATGGTAAATAGCTCTTGGGGTAGGGAAGAAGTGACATGAGTTTGGGCTCCCTAGCGGCTTGTTTAGGTTCGCACCTATTCCCAAAAATGAATGTGCACCTATTCCCAAAAATAAATGTCAAGCCCTGCCATGCATACATACTCCATCACTAGATAAGACAACATTATCTGCCAACTTAACGAAGTTAAAACAGCATATCAATTATTCAACAGAGATGACAGCTATTAGTCAAATTACTTGACATGTGGATATGAAATTATACTTCCTCCTTGTCGTGACAAGTACATTAAAAGCACCACTTACAGGCAATCACTTAGTCCCTTACTTCATTTGCTCAGCACCTAATTTGATAGGTGTCAACAGTGTATACTGTGTCAACTGTGTCAGTGTACATTTGGCCATACAAGGTGCCAATGCCATGTGTTCAATGCCATGTATTTCACATAGAGGTAAGGGCTGATAATAAGAGTTTATCATTATTATGAAAATATTAATATGTCAATATTATGTATCATGCACACAGTAGTGACTCCTGTTGTACCTATTAATATTGGATCTGTTATGATAATATAGCAACTTTTCAGTTGTCAGTGCTTAAAGGCCCATTATGCAACATTTTGGCCCCCAAAAATTCTCGAAAAACAAAACTTTTATGTGAATGACAAATACAGCCTCTCAATATTATCACTGTAAAATGGTTTCTTTTTTGGACATCTGAAGTTTTAATCCAACACCTTTCAAAGAAATAATTACAAAACCTGGGAATTCTTTGATTATCATGTTGGAAGAACCACTACATGTAGTGTTGACAACCTAGTGTTCAGAAAGTTTGACACCATGAAAAACGTAAAGGATTAGTTTATTATGTTTACCGAAGGAAAACATATTGTTTTTACTCAGTTTCTTCCTCCTCCTCTTCTGTTCCAAACACTAACCTCTGACCTGGCCAATGACATGATTTGTTGACGTCTGCTACCATGGTGACTGGTGTTGGGTTACATAATGTTGCAATTTCGTGGTCTGCTCTACGTACATGTATGTGAATGTGTTTGAGTAAAAATTAACAGGGCAGACCATGTCCGAAGGTAAACATTATGCATTTGCTTTGCGAATGTTACTTCTCTAGTTTCCCTTTAAATTATACCCAATATAGGAAGTGAAAGGAGTAGCAAAACACGGGGGAATAACCAACTTATTATGGCCCAATCATGTGTCTTTTTACAAATCTTGTATCAAATAGGACATCCAATGAAAGCTCGTGACGATTCCTACTACATACACATGTACATGTACATGTAATGGCAATGCTTTTCATGCATACAGTTCTATCTTTTCCAATCTGATAACCAGTTGCAGTGTGACATTATGTGAGGGTGTCCTCTCCCCTGATATACTCCCCTATATCAGCCTGGTGGAAACACACTATAGACATGGGGTCTGTTCTTCTGCACTCCTGGGTGGACTTGGCTGCTACTCCAAAACCCTGGGAAAAAAACACAAAAAATATGTATGAACTGTACAATGCTTTTGACTTGGATGCTATAGCTGTGACTTGATGGAAAAGTATTAAAAGAAAAATGTAACACATTCCAGGATAGTTATCATTTTAAACAATGAATCGTTAACTTTTCAATCATTTAGAAATGGGAAAAAAATGAGACAACTAGGTCAACAATGGATTTCTGAAACAATTAGTCTCAAAATTTGGGGACTGATTCATATCCTAACTAGTACATGTGATTTTTTTTATTCAAATCAAGGAAAATCTTTTAAAAATCCCTTGGCAAAAAAAACTAAATCAGAGTGGCCTTTAGTAGAATTTTTACAATACAGAATTGCCTTACCAGTGGTATATCACTCATGGAATAGACCACCACCCCCTGGTACTGGTTAGTGCTCTCTGTTATCCTCCCCAAACCAGATTTCAGCACATGGTTCCCATACAGGAAGGTCTGTTCAGCTCCAGGTTTCACCCAAATCTTGTACTGAAACAGAAGAACATTCTATTAGTGCCACCATGTGGTCTTGCACAGTATTGCAGACTGATCATCATATTACTAGTACTTCAAGGTGTAACTTTGGGTGGCTGAGGTTTGTGTAGCTTTGTGTGTCTGGTCAGATTACGTTGACAGCAGATGGGTGGGGAAGATTGACAGGGAGAAAGACAGGATGTCAAAAGGTCACACACAGGAAATGGGGAGGACTTGAAAGTCAGAAAAAAAACAAATACTTCTTGAAATCTGATATCTCTGACTTCATAGTTGATACTGCAAAGTTTTGTCATTAAAATATTCACATTTAAAGTCAATTTTGAGGCACAACAACTGATTTTAAGTTAACTCTTGATATCATGATATCCTCCATCAAAGACAAAAAAGTAATGACCCACACATTCAATTTTATGTGCCTAAGACCTTCAAAATGTATCAAATCTCATCATTGTTAGTATTTGCATACCTGTAATAAGATTGTGTGAAAAGAGTGATGTGAAATTTTGTAAGTAAAGCTTTTGAGATTCAAAGTGCTTGTTCTTGCATCTTTGTTCTCAATTACATAGCTACTACATAATTCATTTATTTGAGATTCTTTGCCAGTTTTGCACTGGGGTAAGTTTGGAATAGTCCACTGTTGCATGGGAGGGAGATGGACTGAAATATGCTGTATTTGCCCCCAAGCAAATGTCGGCTTTCTAGTTTTTTTTCCTACCTTTGCATAAGGAGCCAGGAAGTCCAGTGCGGTGATGTGGAGACGAAACTTGCCAGTCTTGGTGAACTTGCCGAAACACGTGCCCATACTGACCAGGTTTTCACGTGACACATTTGCTGCTCTTTTCATGATGTGCTCACTAGAAATAACAAACAAATAAACAGATAGATGTCACATTTCAAATTATGTCATACATGGGCTGTGTTGATATTCGATACGAGTGTTCCAGCCCAAGTTATAACTGTATCACACGGGTTCTAACGGTTGTAACAGTGGGGGGGG